GGCGGGGCCGGGGCCGCCGCGACGGGAGGACAAAAGAGGCGCCGCCCGGGGGCCGGCCTTCCGGCACCGCCTCGGCCCTCAGCAGGTGCAGCGCTGGGTGCACCCCGTGCCCATCTCGCGGTCCCCTCTCGGTCCATCCTGGTTTGGGGAGCTCCGGTTTGTGGGGGGAGGCCGGCAGGGGACGGAGTGTCCCCTGGGCTCTGACCGAGGCCCGCGCGATCAGCTGCGGGGGCGTGGCGGCCCCTCGGGGGCGCAGTACCTGGGCCCCAGCCCTGAGCCCTGAGCCCCCTCCGGTCGACTAGGCTGTAGGAGCTGACGAGGGACGTCAGGGACAAGACAGCGGGGCAGAGGCTCTTGGTCATCTCTGGCCTCTGGATCGGTCGCCCACCTGCAGCGGACAGGTCACCTCCAGGTCCGCCCACGCTTGGCAGGGTCCTGCGGGCTCCCTCTCCCGCCAAAGAGGGAGATGCCTGCTGGAGGGCTGTCACCTGAGCGCCTCAGGCAGGGCACCCCTGCTGCCCCCCCCCAGTATCATATAAAGGCAAGTTCTATGTTGCTACCGCGTTTCTGCCCCTTGCTTCACAGCCCAAATCTTTGAGAAGCGGAAGATACTCTGGTCGCCCCAGTTTCTCCCTAGGTTGCAAACCTCCCAACCCACCTCCCCAGCCGTGGCCCCCAGCACAGCTCCTGGGTTTCTGCCAAGATGGATTTCCACACTGAGGGCTGGGATATCTGACCTCTGCCAGACTGCCGAAGAGCAGAGACCCAAGGAAGATGAGGTGTTCTAGGGCCCCACCCTAACATCCCCACCACCAGAACATCCTCACCAGGCGCTGGGAGCCCACAGACCACTGAGGGACAGGACTGGAGGCAGGGAACCCCGTCCTGGGTGTTCTGCCTCCCTGGGGGCCCAGGGCCTCTGCTAGGGATGGGGGAGCTGCCTCGGGCTCGTGACAGGCCCCCCCAGCTCTATTTTAGGCCCAGGAGAGGTGAGAAGGCGATTTCCCGGGAGGCGCTGACATCAATGCTGGGAACGGGGTGACTCCCCTCCCCCTCCAACCACCTGCCACTCCAGACCCAGATGCTCAGCAAGGCTGAGCCAATTGAGCCAATTGTTCTTTCACTGTAAAAACATCTGGAAAGGGGTAAAAGTGTGGGGGGGGGAGGGGGGGACTGGCTTCTGGGAATGAGGACCTACTATGTGATATTCTCTGAAACCCACAATTACCCAGAAGGGAGACTGCTCCTCATTTTTCAGGTGGGGAAACTGAGGCTCAGTGGGGTTTCCGAAAGCCATGCAGTGGGTCAGTGAGAGGTCCACCTTACACTCTAGGTGGGCACTCCTATCCCCACCTCCACCTTCTACAGGGGACCTGTGTCGGGGTCAGATACCTCTAGTCTATTTTCTCCCCAGCCCCCCACCAAGGTGAGTCCCTCCTGCCCCACCAGTGCCATGTTCTGGGGCCACATGAGTGAGCCTGAGCAGGTACGCCTTCTTAAAGGACAGGTGGGGGGGCCTGGGCTGGACCCCCTCTTCCACTATGCCCAAGACTGCACAGCAAGCCCATCTATGGCCCAGGGCTCCAAGCAGAGACACCTTCCCCCCACTTCTGTGCTCCTGGTTCCTGGGCATTCACTGGGGAACCCTCCTGCCCCCTCCCCCGTGACTCTGTAACAGGGTGGAAAAGGGGAAGTTCCAGGTGCCCTGCCCCACCCAGAAGGAGGGTGGAGCTGAGCAGAGAAAAAGGAGAGAAGAGAAGGAAGCAGGATAGAGAACAAGAAGGAGCCCTGAGGAAGCCACACGGAGCAGCAAGCATGTGAGGAAGAAGCCGGGCTTGTCTCCTGGCCCCGGACTGGTTAGGCAGACGTGGGTGAGAGACCTGCAGGGAGGTGACTATGGCAGTGTTTATGGCAGAACCCACTTAGAGCAGGCAGGTTTTGGGCTTCAGGGGTGCCGCTCTCCCCCTGCCCTATAACAGGTCTGCTGTCATATAACAGGTTCTGTCCTATAACAACTCCTTTCTGGTGGCATCCGTGCCGCTCCAGTGGGGGCTGTTTTCTGGCTCCTTAGCTCCAAGAGCTTCCTGCCCTTCCCCTCACCCCCCATCTCTGGGGCCCCAGGTCAGAGCAAGTCCAGCCAAACTGCCCCTGGCCACACCCCGCTCTGCAGCCCCAGCCCCACCCCACTTGTCTCCTAGGTTAGCCCTGCCGCCCTGGCCCTGCCCGTCTCCTGTCCTGTCGTGACACATGACGCTTGCTTCAGTGCCCTCAGCCTCCTACTGTTGCTGCAACTTCCCAGAGAAATCAGAGGCACTCAGAGTGGGAGGGAGAGAGTTTTGCTGGTCACACCAGCGGGCTCAGTGGGATCAGTCCGGAAAGGCTGAGCCCCAATTACAGGAGTGGTGAGGTCTTAGACAGGTTATATGAGGAGGCTTGTCGCCGGTCCATCACAGCATGAGCATTCTTTATTGTCTGGGAGGGGGTCAAGGTCGCCAGAGCTACTCCTGGGGGCCAGCTGCACCCTGCAGGGACTCCCTGCTCCAGCCAGCAGCAGAATCCCAGCAGCCTCCCCTGGGAAAGTAGCCGAACCTAAGCAGACCTGGGAAACCTCCTGCTCCACTCCCCACCCCCACTTTTGAGGTCCCTACTAAGTGCTAGGGAATATCAACTCAAGGACTCATGAACAACACCTGACTTGTTGGCGTAGAAACAACAGTCTTCAAGCCGATGGGATGGCCAGGGCCAGCGTGTGAGCACTGGGTAATGTGTTCGCTTAACAGAAGCTTGAAGTCAGGGGTGAGTAGTGAGGGCACAGAGACTCACATCAGGCATAATTACACACCTGTAGATACCAGTAGAGCAAACACAAAGGTCCACTGGGAGCACTGGAGAAGAACCAGAGGCCCTGGGTGTAAGCGTGTCGGACACAGAAACATTAGGGTGCTGGCTGCAGCCCAAACTCAGGAGGCCGCCCCCGGACTGCGTCAGGGCAGGCAGGCAGCTGATGTAAAGAGAACGGTCACGCCAAAGAGGAAACGGGAAAACGCCCGAAGGGTCAGCCCACACTGAGGCACAGCCCTCTGATGGTCCTCGCGCTTCCGCCGCCCGCGTCGACCAACCAGCTCCGGGGCTGTGTGTGGTTGGAGCTGGGCTTAGCGGGTCGGCACAGGCCGCGCACTTCTGGGGCGTGTTTGGCGGGCTGGCTTACGTGGCTCTCCATGAGAACCTGGAGCAGTGCAGCTCAGAACACATCCACCTGCGGGCGTTTAAAGGGCGGCGCCGTGCGCGGCATCCCCGGCGGGGGCCCGGGCCACTGGGCAGTGTGGGGTGGTGCACAGGTCTGGCCCCTGAAGACACAAACTGAAGGAACAAAAGTTCATCATCCGGCGGCGGCCATCACGCCCGTTCTGTCGCAAGCCGCCTTCGGTCTCCTGCGAGCCCGGCTGCAGCTGGCCACGAGCAAGCCGGAGCCGGAGCCCCGGGAGCCCCAGGCCGCGGTGGCCGGCAGGTGCTCTCTGAGCCCGGCCAGCGTGGGCCCGAGATGGGCGGTGTGGAGAAGCAAATGGCCGGCGAGGAGATGGCAGCGCTGGGTGAGAGGGGCTGGTGTCGCACCCGCAGCAGGGGGAGGTGGCGCTCGGCCGCTCTGGGGCAGCCTCCTCTGGTAGGTGAGTGGCAGTTGCAAGTCCACCGAGGCGAGAGCCACGAACTCGAGCAATTTAACCGGCACCTGTGGGCTGTGCGGCCTCTGCTGCTCTTCGGTCGTGGGTGCCACACAGTGGCCGGGGGCAGCTCTGTGGCACCCAAACTTCCCAGGTGGTGTGCAAGGACCTGGGAAGTCAGTGGCAAGTGCTGGCTGAGCTGGACGGATGGGAAATGGGGGGCTGCCTGGCATTGGGTGAGCAGTGGGGACTAGGGGGGCTTTGCCTGGCACCAGACCATCACCCAAGCTCGTCCTGCCCCCGCGTGAACCCCACACCCTGGACTGAGGTTTTTCTGTACTAACACCAGCCTGAATTGGTTTTCAAACGCCAGGCTGGTAGTGGACCTGTGGGTGTGGACGCCACCCCACCACGTCAGAGAGAGAGGACAGACAGGCCCCAGCCCAGGGGCTGCTGGTTTGGAGGGTCCTGTCCTGCCAGGCTGGCTCCCAGCTTGGCCAGCTGGTTAGTGAATGACCACCACTTTAGTCACACTCCAGGCTTTTTCTAGTAGTTGAAGGATTTTCTTTATGATGTCCCTGGCAGTAAATGATTGCCACTCTGGCCAGATACCAGACCGGTTGCTTCTAGCAAATGGAAGATGCTAGCTCTTTTTCTCTTGCATTTAAAATGTCCCATGCGTGTGGACGGTGGCAAACATACAGCGAGAATCTGTAACTGATGGATCTTTTGCCAGCTGAAATGTACAGGCGAGGGCCCAGAGTTTGGTAGCCAGGGGCTCCCTCAACAGAGTTTCTGTTCACCCCGACGGCAGCCTTTCTCAGCTGTGAGCTGAGTCTCTTGATGTGTCCAGGGGCTGTCCCACTGGAGGCAGAAAAGGGGGACTCGTGAACGTGGTGTGTAGACGAGACGTGGGGGGAGGCAAGAAGAGAGTGCAGGATCTATCTGGCCTCTCCCAGCTTTTAGACCAGCGGGAGTGGGGTATTTTAGGGAGACCAGCACTCTGTTAAAGTGTTTCTTGTCCTGGGCCCAGGCTCCCAGGTACTGTTGTAGCCGAACGGGGACCACACTGGCCTGAAGGTGGATGTGAAACGGACTGTGGCTCAGGGCCAGACCGGGTGGGGATTTTTTTAGCCCAGACACTGGGGGACTACAGCTTGAGCCAATTCAGGTTGCGTTTTGTCTAGTCCCTGGCGAAAGCTTTCATTTTCACTCTCTAGGGAGGGTGACTGATAAGATGAGGCTGTCCAGGTCTAGAAGTAAAAGGCAAGGCTGATCCATCACGGCAGAACTGATTTGAGCCCTGAGTTTGGCTAGAACAATTTGTTTCAATAAGGAAACTGGGCTGTCCAGCGGGGACGCTCATGACCAATCTGATGGCACCAAATCATATTTACTCTGAGTCCCTCCCATTGTGTTCCATGTCGCAACAAAAGGAGGTGAACACCATGCTCTGGCCTGGGCGCACCCTTCGTGGGACTGGAAGGCCCGTCTCGGCTGTCTGGCGAGTCCAGATAACCCGACTGGTGCCTTGAAGAGGTCGCTTATAGGCCGTGCGACGTGTCGTGGAAACTTAGACAAGATCCCGTAACCGAAGTCGTGGGACTGTTTACATGCGCTCACACACACACACATAGAAGCCACGCATCCCACCCCTTAGGACAGAGTTAAGTGGCAGGACCTGGATTTGAACTCAGGCCTGCGCGGCCCGAAGCTCCAGGGGCCATGGAGGACGCAGATCCTGTGGCTTGAAGTGGGTGTACTTGTTGCCGAAGATCATTCCAGATCAGGGGTTGGACTGCATTTTGTGGTGAGAGCCAAGTGCATCAGTCAAGCCCACCAGACCGGTCCTGAGGAAGGAGGTGGCAGAGGAAGAAATAGGCAGGGCTGAGGGGAGGTTTCTGCAGGGAGCAGATGGGGGGCAGGGCTGGAGGGGCTGGAGGGGCTGGAGGGAGAGGATGGCCAGTCTGAGCTGGACAATGAGTTCCTAGACGGTGGGTGTGGGTGCTGGCAGGGCAGAGGAACATATGTGTTGGTGGTGATGCTACTTTATTAATATCATAGAGGAAAAGCAGGCCCAGTGGGATTAAGGGACTTTCCCAAAGTCCCAGTGTGAGTTGGGGTGCAGCCAGATGTGCCTCCCACCCTGCAGCACAGGTGACGGTTAGTGTTTGGATGGAGTCACGTCTGCAGAGAAGCACCCTTTGCACGGAGGTCCCCGGTGGGGGCCAGGGAGGCAGCGAGGCCGGGAGGCCGGTGAGGATCAGCGTGCGGACTCAGGGCGCACACCTGAAGCCCGAGGGGGCGTGGGCATGGCGGGGAGAGTCTGGGGAGGGAACTGGCCGCGCGGGCTACTGGGGATGAAGAGCTGAGGATGGAAAAGGAGAAAAAGAGCCTGGTTTCGGGAACTGGCAGGTGAGCTGGTGTCCTTGGAGTGGACAGGTCCAGCGGAGCTTCGGGCTGGGCGCCGCGGAGGTCTGGAAGGAGGTGCAGACACGGAGGCAGCGGCTGTAGACCGCAGGAAATTGCCAGAGCGCAGGGACGCTTTCTTCAAGCTGCTAAATCAATGCAAGTGTTTTCCAGGATGGAGTCCCACAAATTTCGGGGCAGAGGGAAGAGGTGGCGAAGCTGAGAGGAGGAAGCCGCCCATGGGGGCTGGCAAACGCAAGGACAGAGGCTGGGGGGAAAGGGACTGTGAGAGGGGGCCGGAGAGTAGATGTTGAAGGGGAACAGGGAACAGGAAGTGGGGTGCCTGCTGCCGCCGCCGAGGCAAGGTCGCTGGCTTACAGAGAATGGAAGCTGCAAAGCCTCCACTCCACTGAGGGGCCTGCCCGGGGCATGAGACCCACCTGTCTTGGGGGTCTCGGGTGTTATGTATACAAGAACTGAGGTGCAGGCCAGAGGTGCTGGGGAGGGAATAGAGTCAGCAGAGAGAATGGGGAGCAGAGCAGGTAGATCTACTGAAATACACTGAGGGAGCAGCGGCCCAGACAGGTCTGCTGTGTCACGTCAGTCACAGGGATTGAACTCAGGCCAGAGGTTAAAGTGATAGTGCTGGGGAGGCCCTGGGAGCCCCTCTAAATCTACATGCTGGGAGCTGGAGCTGTAGCCTTGGGGCCTGGCCCAGCTGAGCTGTGAGGTCCAAGGTCACAGTGGCTGAGACAGGAGGGGAAGGCCACAGTGGGATGTGAGGTGGGAGAAGGGGTCCCGGGCAGTTGGAATGAGGATGTCAGATGTGGGTCTTGGGGTGAACAGCACATGAGGGTGTACAGAGAGGCCTGAGGAGGAAGGAGGCAAACTGTTCATCTGGAGGGGGCGGCACAGGAAAGGCAGGTAGGACCAGGCGTCACCCTGCAGGCCCACAAGGTGGTCTGGCCTGGGAAGACAGGGCCTGAGCAGGAATGGACAAATGTCCCCTAGGGCTCAGCACTCCAGAGCCCAGGGGGCAGCAGAGCCCGGTGACCGGAGGGAGGAGATAGGCTGGGGGTCCCAGCTCCCCTCATCCCGTTTCCCTCTGCTGGGCCCTCAGGGTGATCAGGCCCCGGATGCTGCACTCTGGCTCATCTTTGCTTTGTTAAGAAATTTATTTACATTTCCTAAACCAAGACTGAAATCTAACAGGAATGGCTTAAAAGGGCCAAGTATGACCTCTGCGAGGGTTGTACACACAGTTGCTCTATTTTCCTAACTAACAACTCAGGTCCTCACCCGCAGCCAGGCCCCCCTTTCTTCCTCCAAAAGGAGCCACAGAATAGCACCAGGCTTCTGGTGGCTTCAACACTTAAAGAGACAAACACACAGGCAGAGAGGGCGAGAACCACCGTGTGGACTGTAATAATAATAATAAAGTAGCCAAAGAATCAATAGCAAACCCATCTGTCTCCAGATTAATGGCTTGGCTAGAAGTGGGGAGAGGTCCTTGAGGAAGGGTAGGGGGGAGAGGCAGATTGGCAGGTGAGGCTTGGCCCTGAACAGAGAGCTCCAGGTGAGCAGCTGGAGCCAGGCACAGCAGAGCTCTGGCTCCCCCGCGGGCTCTGGCCACTTCCAGACTCAGGGGAGAGGTCAGTGCTGGGGCCCAACAAGCGCAGGGGAGGGAGCTCCGTCAGTGCCGCAGCCCAAGCCCCTCCTCTGCTTCATATGTTCCTGAGGATCTGTGTGCACCAGCGTGGGGGGCTGGGGGAGGGGACACAGGCGTTCAGGAAAGCAGGGGAGCCACATGCTTGCTTCGGGGAAGGCGGCTGGCGGGGGTGGGGACAGCAGCACCCAACCCTCTGGGCTCTGCGCAGGCAAGTGCCCGCAGAGGCCTGGAAGCCAGGCCAAGGCTCCTGCTGCCCTGGCTTCTTGTGGCTCCTCCCTCCGCCTCCTGCTAGGGCATTCGGCCACGCTCCAGCCACCGAGAGTGCGCCAGTGCGCCCGGGCAGGAACATGGCTGGAGGCAGGGGTAGGAGAAGCACCCGGCACAGCCCCTGGGCCCTACCAAACCCCAGTGGTGGGAGGCCTGCCCCTGCGGACCGACCACAGCTGACCCCAGCTCTGTGGAGCTGCCTTGACAACAGCCATTCACTGGCACTTCAAAGGCTGGGCCTGGGGCTCCCGCTAGGCTCTTGGGGGGAGCCGTGGTGCTGCCCTCTGCTGTGTCCTGGAGGCTCTGGTACAACTCTGTGGGGTGTAACCTATACCTGAGCCCTGGAGCTTGGGCCCTGGGAGACTCACAGGAGCAGCTCTCTGCTTGCACTGGGCTGGGGTGAGGAGACAGGAAGGCAGGGCCCTGGGAGAGGCTGGGGGGCCCAGAACCACGGGGAGCAGCTGCCTCCCTCGCTGGCCTGCACAGAGTCAGCGAGAGAGGGAGACTGGCTCTCCCCAGGCCCCCCCAGGGGCTGCAGGCCAGCAGCTGAGGGCAGGTGGGCTGACGGCTGGCTTGGAACCGCAGGGCGGCTGGGGAGCCGGTCAGCCTGCTGGGGGGCAGGGTCAGGGGCTGCACATTCAGAATGCTCAGATCCGGGGGGCCAGCCTTCCCCGGGAGAGGGGGGCTGTGTTGCCCAGAGCTCTGCTGGCCTGTCTGTGGGCTGCCAGAGGAAGGGGTCCGGGAGGGAGAGGCAGATCTTTGGGTGGCACAAAGGCAGGAGGGAGTCCGGAGACCTGGGCTCATGGCCCGGAAGGGGAAGGGACAGAGGCCGGCCGCTGGCTGTCCTGCTGCCACAGGGGCTGGAAGCTCTCGGGAGGAAGAACAAGGCCCCTGGCTTCTTCTCGGCGTTGCCGCTAGGGAATGGCGCCTTCCGCTTGTGACCGACGGGAGCCAGGTCTGGGCCAGAGGAGAGGTCCGTGAAACCAGAGCTGGTAAGGAGGCACTGGCAAGCAGGGCTCCTGGACGCGGGGGTTCCGGGGGGGTCCACAAAGACATCGGCCGACCCGTCCAGCTCCTGGCAGGGTGTTTCTGGTCCGGGCGTCTCGTCTGACTCCACAAGTTTCACTGATGCTTTCGTGCTGCCTGGTGTCCCGTCCTGCACTGGGGTGCCGGGGGGCTGGCGCTCAAGTTCTTCCTTTATCCCGGGAGAGGTGGCCCTGGGAGGGGAGGGCTGGCCGGGAGGTGGAGTGTCCTCCGCCTGTGTTCTCTCAGGACACCGAGGGTCACAGTCTGAAGCCTCAGAGCCGAGCTGCCTGTGGGGAGAAACACCCAGCGGGCCGGGGGCTCAGGTCCTCTGCGGCTGAGCAGGGAGGGCAGGGCCCCGTGCGGCTGCCCCCGAGCTGTGGCGCGCTGGAGCGAGCTGCCCACTCTGGGGCCCTTGGGTCTGACCCTGCAGCAGCGGCCAGCGCTGTTTGTACCGCGCTTGGGCTCTGCGGCCTGTGGTCAGCGCTGGCCAGGGGAACAGGTTAGAGGCTGTTCCATTTAATAACTTCAGAGGAGCCTGTGCCCGCTGGCGGCTGGGGAAGAGCAGAGCCTGGCAGGGCGAGGCAGGCTTGGGCAGACAGGTGAAGCCAGCGTGCCTTGGTGGCAGCAGGGCAGCTGGGCTCCCCGACCTGGAGGCCCCCTCCCCCTTCTGGATGGCCAGACTGGCACATGACGGGGCCCAGGCCAGGAGTGGCGACCGTGGAGCTGCAGTCTGCCCTGCCGTGGCGATGTCTGGGTGATTAGGGAGGGGTCACTTGTTCACCTGGGTCCAGGCCCAAGTGGCAGGAGCCACAACAGAGGTCTTTCTCCCAAATGGGAGGCAAAGGGCGGGCTGCTGCCATGCCCTGTGGCTGCCACCCAGAGGGTCCCTTTGCACCCAGAGAGGGTGGCAGGAGAATGACATGGTGTGCCTGCCAGCCTGGCACTCACCCGGGGCGGCTGGCCTGGGTGGCCATGTCTGCGAAGCTGTGGTTGAGCCGGGCGATGAGCCGGTCCACTTCTGCGTAAGGCTGGGCTTCGAGGGCGAAGCCGCGGTGCCCAGCACTCTGGAGGTGCTGCGGGGACAAGAGGAGGCAAAGGGCTCGTCAGGGCCAGCGCGGGGCTCACGCAGAGCGGCGGGCCGGGGGGCAAGGCTCCCGCGGAAGCTGCGCGCAGCTGCTGCACGGGCTCACCCCGCAGAGCTCCTCAAAGGCCTCCCGGCAGCACTCGCAGTAACCCTTCTTCCTCCGGGGCGTGGCGCGGACAGCGGAGCGCCGGCTGGGCTCTGGGTCCTTGGGTTTTCTGAAGAGGAAAGGGGTGGGGGGTCACCGCCAGGCTGAATGCCACTGCCACAGGCCTCGAGTGCGGCTGTCCCTGCAAACTCAGCGGGCCCCACACGTTCCCCTGCAGGACTAGCTGCATGACACAGAGCTCGGGAAATGCACAGCAGGAAACGATCCACACAACAGAAAACCGCAGTGTGACGGGGAACGCGGGCTCTCTAGGTGCTGCAGGAAATCAGTCTAAGACGTAAGTGGGAAAGCAAGTGTGGCAGAGCGACCACACCAGCCTGCGCGAGGGGACAGAGCGCGGCTCTGCACACCTGCGGGCTCTGCAGACGGCCCACGGGGCAGAGCAGGACGACGGCTGGAACAGCCGTGACTGTAACCTTTTGAAACGATCACATTTGAAACAAAATATAATAATTTAAAAAAATCAAACATTTCTTCCCACACAGATTTTCTACACACACACCCCCGGAGCCCTGGGCCGACCTGGCGCGTCACACGCCAACACGCCAAAGCTTTACTGCTCCAGCAACTCCCCTGCGTAACCTCCACTCCTCTGCCACCAGGTCACCGCAGGCCTAGCACCCACTACTGGCTCCACGTCCAGACCACCTCCTGGCACCCTGGTACCTGCTGGAGAAGTGTGAAGGGCACCTGGACTCGGCCTCAGCTCATTCGCTACCTCCCTGCTCTGTCTACTGCCACATTTCCTGTTTTTTCCTTGCGTTTCTTGGCTGGTGGCCGTTGTCTGCCGGTGTAACACAGGCCCCTGGACCTTTCACGCTGGCTCTGCCCTGTCCTACTGTCTCAGTCTATGGACTAACCTGTGGCCAGGAGTCAGAAAGGGTCTGAGCAGCATCTGGTGCGTCACCTGCGCCATGTTCCTACTGCACGTGGGTGAGCAGTAACATCTGCACAGGGGCTGGGCCATAAAACGCAGGTTGCCCCTTAAGTTACTCCCGTTATTTAATTTAGCCCAACAGGCCTCAAACTTTGTCGTGGGCTGAAATCACCAGAGGCCCTTGTGAGAACTCAGTTTCTGAGGCTCCATCATCAGAGACCGTGATTCTCTAATTGTGAAGTGCAGGAATGTGTATTTTTTCACGGGGCCCAGGGGACCCACATGATGCTGGCTTAAAGATCTAATTTCAGAAGTCAGCTGGACTGTCCTCTGTACACGTAGGTCCAATTTTTCAGTAGGGATGGAGAAGACCAAATAAAACAGATGAACATTCCTAGCATCTCTCTTCTCTGGGCTGAGTTCCCAGAATAGACTTCGCCTAAAGAGCTAACACATGGCCATTCCCAAATCTGACCAGCAGGCTCCGGGGGCGAAGGACGCTGGCCTGGGACCAGCCCTTGGTCCAGGAAGCAGAGACCCACCTGGTGTGATGCGAGCTGCCTGGGATCGTCGGGGCCTCAAAAGGACTTGCATCTTTGGGTCCCAGAAAAGAAATTTCAGGAAAGGATTTAAACTGATGGTGGAAAGGACGGAACTTCCTGCAACAGAGAAAACTTCCGTTTTGACTACAGTGAGGAAGGGAGTGGAGGAAGGAGGCCAGCCCAGCTCCCGGGAACTTCAAGCTGGTGACGTGGGCTCTTGCTGTCACACCCCCCGAGTCCTGAAGGAAGACGCCCACCTGCCCTATAGGTCAGGAAAGCATCTGTGCTCCTCGTCAACCTGCACCGCCTCACTGAACCTCAGCACCTGCCTCCGACCTGAGTGGAACAAGTGGCGGCTGCATTTTACACAGGATGAAAAGGAAGCCTGAGGGCTCATGGCGAGTCAGTGGCCAAGACCAGCTGAAGCCACATGTTCCAGCTCCTGATCTAGTTCTTTCCAGATTTGGTGACGGGTGGGCACTCAGCGAACCCTGCTAGGTTCCTGCCAGTCCACCACGTTTGGCTGTGTAGGCCTGTGTCTCAGGGGACAGGGTAGGCCATAGGCTCCTTCCTGGGTGGGAAGAACTGTGCGGCCTCAGGAGTAAAATAACAAGTCTTCTGGGGCCCTTGAGAAAGTGCCTTTCACAACCCTCGCACACCCTTTTCTCCTTCCTCAATGTTTCTGCAGAGAGCTCTGGAAAGCAGAGGATGGTAAGGCTAAGGGACTTTTAAGGGCCCTGCTTCAAGACAGCACCTGAAAAGAATCCTAAGAGGAGCCAGCTCGGGCCCTCTCTGGTGATGCAATGGGTTGAAGTGCAGCAGTATGAAGCTATTGTAGCCGCTGCAGCACAAGTTCAATCCCTGGCCAGGGAGGTGACCCACAGGGCCCAGCAGACCTCTCCTGACCCGCCCGCTGCTCCCTCAGCAGTGTGTTTCAGTCCATCTG